TTGATTTAAAGGTTTTCTAATGAATTGCAATTTTTGATGAATTATGAGGTGAGGCTTTACTTGTTTTTGATAGGGCTGCAGCTCTATCGAACTATTTTCCATTTGTAAATAATAATAATAATATGAAAATACAAAATACGTTATATTTAGCAATGTACATAAAAAAAAATAGCTCGGCCAAAGAAATCGGGGTTTAGCTGAGGCAAGTTACTCAGACACGTGCGAAGAACTCTCCTAAGTAGAAAAAAAAATCAACGTATATTTTATAACCTTCCAATTTTTAACCTTATAGGCAGAATAGCAATGGTAGTTAGTTGTCCGGCTTTCATATGCCTCTTTACCCGAAAGTCCTCAAGGTGCTTTTTGCTTTGAGTGCGGTTCAAACTGTGTTAGTCCGAGTGGACTTGGTTGAGATTTTGAATAAATAGCTATTTAATTTTTATTTAATTGATAAATTAGGCAAAACCGATTTGTGTGATGCTCAAAATTGTTATATATGAGTTTTGACTGATTTTCTGTAAAATTTAATTTTTATTTTGAACAAGATCAGCTAAAGCACCAATCAACCGTCCAACCGGTTCAATTCAATCCCTGTTTACTACAATAGGACCTTGGAAAGAATCTCACTTATATAGGATTCCGATTTAATTTATCATTGATTCATATCGATCAACAATGTCGATCCTTGCATTTTGTGTAACCCAAATTAATCAAAATTTTGCGCATGTATCATGAAGTTGAGAAAAGCCTCACGGGTAATCCATTGGTGGCATGACGGTTGGCAATGGGCTGGCACCCAGATGCGGTAGAAGGGCTTTGCCCACTGGATGAACCCAGGTATGAAATTTTTGCCCTGTTGGCTCTCAGTTGTCGTCCCCTTTGCCCTGTCTTTTTTTCATTTCCATCATCATCATCATTATCCAAGCCGTAGTTCACGTAAACCCTTAACCTGAGACGTTCAAAGCAAAATGCACCTCTAAACCCTATAGGGAGATCTAACTTTGGTGGCAAAAACCGTTATAATAGTTTGACAATCTTTTTTCATTCATAATTATAAAATGTAAATCCTCTCCAAAATATATGTAGATTAAAGATCTACAAATACTTAAAAATCTTAAACACGGAAGATCCAAATATTGTGTTATATGATCTCTACTTTTTAAGACTTGAAATCTTTTTTTTTCATATCTATACATCCTCAAGTTGAGATGATGTATTGAAGAGTTTTTAATATTAAAACATCCTTTTGAAATGAATATCTAAGATGCACCTTATCTGTATAGTTGATGCCTTAGATAAAAAAAGTGATTTTAAGAATTAAATATAATATCACCAAAACAACAAATCAAGCCACTTTTGGATGCTTTTGAAATGCTAGAATGGATTTGGTCTTATCCCAGGTTGAGCGTGTGCCGGAGATATATGCGGGTAACTTTGGTGGAGCACTTCATAAAGTATGGTTAACAATTAGACAAATCGTATAAGTATATGATTAGAAATAAATACTACTCCATAACATCATAGAAATCAGAACCCATTCGATAAAAATTTTATGTGGAGCACTTTGTAAAGCAAGGGATTTATGATTTAGTTCAAACAAATAATTAGAAATTCCATCAACTTTTGTGTGAGCAAGAAACATGAATAAATAAATATGAGATATTTTGATTGTAACCAATAGATGATAAGATGAAAGAGAGTAGGCATAGGTGGGTTGGCCATGTGTGGAGCAGACCCAATACAACATCGGTAAGGAGGTACGAGTAAGTTCAAGTGGGAGGCTAAAAAATGACAAGGGTTAGGCCCAAAAGGATATAGTTGGAAGTAGCGAGAAAAAATATGGGGACTTATAGCCTCACTTATTAATAGAGTAGAATGACGGACTAAGATTCGTGTAGGTGACCCCAATTAGTTGAAAAAAGACTTTCATAGTTTGCTGCATCAAATATATAAAAAGCATAAAAGTATTAACAACTCTCGTTTTCTCAAACGAGTTACATAATAGATTAGCCCTTCCATCGATTATTCCAACTTATGATCTACAGACTGATCCATGCATAATGCAGAGGCAAAAATTATGCATTGTAGAATCTACAATTAAAAAATAGATAGATAGATAGATAGAGAGAGAGGCATTTGGGCTCAACAAATTCCAGGCATTTTAGAGTTCCATGTTTGTTTAAGAAATAAAGACATTGTCATATAGTATAGGGGATAATTATTACCATAAAGAATGGTCCAATGAAGGAGCAGGCATCGGATATAGCTCCACATATTCATACCAAATAGTGGAATTCTTGTACCTGGAAGAGAGAGAGTGGGGGCTTAAAATGGCGAGAATGTCATACCAATACATCGATCTTGAGATCCATTTTAGAATGAGTAATGATTATGTCACGACTCTTGCTAAATAAATTATTTTGCGATCCATTTTAGAATCATACTGAAATTTGAGTTCCTAAACACTCACTTCTGACCGTCCAAAACTAGGACCATCTTCATTCAATCTTATCTTCCAGCACCGGTAGAGTATAGATCATCGCTTTATTTATTTATGGGAAATTTAACATGCACCAGCAATGGACTATTTAACATTTTATCCGTTTTTCTTTATTTAATTTCAAAAAATACATCAAAATCTACATGACCATGATTTGGGATACTTAAAAATGAATAAAATATTAAATAGCTTATAAATTACATATATTTTCATATATTGGATATGTAACAAAATTATCTGAATTTGCAACCTTTAAATGTTGAATATAGCGCAGCTCAAAAACTCATAAAAGGTCGTGATGTTAGAAAATCCTCTTATTGATCATCTCGATGTCGAGAAGTAAGAATATGAAAAGAAAAAAAAAACACGAGACCGTCTTGCAACACATTATCTCGATCGCCCATTTTCAAGATTTTCATGTGTTTATAGATATACTTGATTTGAACTATTTTTAGAGTTTAAAATTTTATAATTAGAGATGAAAACATATTCTACTAAAATTAAATTAAAGTCACGAACTATGCAAACCACACCATCACATATACATTAATTTATTGGGTTTTGTCTGTAACTTGGTTCCTTCTATGGGTGGAAAAAGAATACAAAATTAAGAGAAATGGATCAGCAATCCAAACCATTGAAATTGAATGATGATCTTTTCTTTTATTGTATTGATCTGTTCATCTGTTAAGAAAATGCCTGTTAAGAAAATGCAAGAAGGAATAAACCCTCAGAAGATGCACAAGATATGACCACTTCATATCAACACAAAGAATGGCACGAATGCTTTCCACAAGGGCCGGGGTTATGTATAAATATGTACAAAGTACTCCACTCTTCCAACAATAGAGCCAATGAAGACATGCAGATTGAGTGGAGCAAGTTGTGAGGGACATCAAGCACATAGCTTTACACGTTCAAGTCACCTGATTCGTTGGTCGTCTCAACTTTTGCATCAGCTGGAGACGCCTGGTTCAAGGAACAAAAATTAACAAGTGAATGGCTCAAAACCAATAGAACTTCAATATATTTATAGACATCAACTAGGAAAGAAGGCAGCATTAAACTATAAGGAGTTCATGATGAGAGAGAGAGATTTGGGGGGAAAGGGTGTCTCTACCTCACTTTTTCCCTAAGACACCTTTTCCAATGATAAGAAAAAGGGTGGAGTGCTGTACTGTCATTTTTGGGTTCTCTTTCCATCTTTTGAAGAAGACCAGCTATTCATTTTATTGTATCATGCAATGGTATGGAAAGATTAAAAATATGAATTAAAAATCTATTAGTTGTTATGCTATGGTTTTAATAAATATGTAAAGTTTTATACTTGGTCCTACTTTGACCAAATTTGTATCTTCCGTTTTCTTTTTTATTTCCCGTATTTTGGGCAGTAATGATCCAACACAAGTTGTTGCCAAATTTCTTAATGGACATAGAAGATACTTTACATCGTAAAGCTAAATGTTCTTATGATGTACAATCCTGAGAAAGAGGAGTGAGGTGTCAAAACATGATAGCAATTAAACTATTGGATGGATGAACGTATGTTGGATTCCCCTTCCAATAAACTCTAGTTTGACCAGGGTCTCCAGTATCCCAAACAAGTTTGGGGCATGATTTTCATCAGAACCCCACACAGGAAAAATGCCACTCACGATGAGTCCCTCTTAAGGGCCACAAAATTCGACTCCTCTCATGAGTCATACCATATACAGAAATTGTAATGGACTAAAGTTTCCTACAGTTTTTGTTCTCATGACAAGCTACTACATATCACATTCCCAAAATTTGGGGGTTTAAAATTCATCCTAGAGGGGGTTTTACCCGAGGGAGTAAAAAGACAGTACTCCCGTGGAGGCATAATATCTTTTGGGCCTAACCATTATTAATACTTTCCTCATTGTGTTATGCCATACGTTACTCATAAATTTTTATCTTTTTCCTGATGTTACCTTGGACCTTGTGAGAATGGAACTGTAGATGCCACATGGCACTTGCCACGTAACCACCTCCGCCTCAAGCCCGCTCCCACTGGTAGATATTTATTTGATTATTTTTCTCCTATTTATTTTTCTCCTATTTTTTACTTTTTTTTAATTACATTTGCGATTGGAAATGATTCATCTTTAACAAAATAAAGATCATTGATCCGATTCCACATATATTGCCTGCCATCCAACACAGACCAGCAGTGTGGAGATCCTTTTACACATGGATCAAGGTTAAAAGTAAGGCTCCACAAGCATTAAAAGAACATAACTAATTTCCAACTTATTTAAGTTCATCGAAAATGCATTTAGGTGACCAATCTAGCAAACAGTATAGGCCTTTTCACGTGTAAGGGACAGAAGGGTATGTCATGGTTTTCACTTAAATTTCTCCCCTACTACACACTCCCCTAACAATCATATGCATGTCATTATCATCATCATCATAACCTTTTCCCAACTAATTGGGGTCGACTACACGAATCCTGGCCCGTACACAAATCCTGGCCCGTCATTGTGCTCTATTAAAGGCCATACACAGTAGAGGTCTTTTCACGTCAAGGGACAGAAGGGTATGTCATAGTTTTCATTTAAATTTCTCCCCTACTACACACTCCCCTAACAATCATATGTATGTCATTATCATCATCATCATCATCATAATCAAAGCCTTTTCCCAACTATTTGGGATCGACTGCACGAATCCTGGTTCATCATTCTGCTCTATTAAGGGTCATACCCTCCGTGACACCATATGTCCCCATCTCTTTTCTCACTACTTCCAACTATGTCCTTTTGGGCCTACCCCTTACCCTTTTTGAGCCTTCCACTTGAATTATCTCGCACCTCCTAACAGGTGTTGTATTGGGTTTGCACAAAATATGGTTCTCTCACGTTATCACCTATTGGTGCCACATCTAAATTGTCCTGAATGTATTCATTTCGAATTCTATCCTTTCTTGTCTTGCCACTCATCTATCTGAACATCATCATCTCAGCTACACTAATTTTATGGATATATTGTTTCTTAATCGCCCAACATTCCACCTATAAAAAGCAAAGTTGGTCTCACAGCTGCCCTATAAAACTTGCCATTCAACTTCATTGATATGTGGTCATCACATAAAACTCCGGTTGCACATCTCCACTTCGCCCATCCAGCCCTAATTTTATAAGCGACATCTTCCTCAATCTCTTCATTTTCCCAGATTATCGACCCAAGCTTTTAAAAGTGCGCTCTTTTTAGTGTTACTTGGCCGTCAATCTTAACTACTTCCTCATCTCTACTATTATTAAACCTAAACTTGCATTCCATATACTCTGTCTTAGTCCTGCTAATTTTAAAACCTTTAGGTTCTAGAACATCCATCCAAAGTTCTCAAGTTGTATCGAAGCCATTTCCGGTCTAATCAATCAAAACTATGTCGTCCATGTGCTACAGTACCTTATCTTGTAGGTGCGTAGTTAAATTGTCCATAACTAAGACAAAGAGGCATGGGATCAGTTTACATAAGGAACGTTGTATTGAAGCCATTTCGGGTGTCATCGATCAAAACTATGTCGTCCATGTGCCACGATACCCTCATCTTGTAGGTACCTAGTTAAGTGGTCCATAACTAAGACAAAGAGATATGGGATCAATACTGACCCCTGATATAAACCTATTGTCACTGAAAACTCACGCGTCTCTCTACTAGTTGTTTGTACATTAGTTACCGCTCCCTCGTACATATCTCTCAGCAAGTTCATGTAGTGTCTGGAGAATCATTTCTTTTCCAGTACCTACCAAATCAAATCTTAAGGTACTTTATCATAAGCTTTCTCTAGATTAATGAAGACCATGTGGAGGTCTTTTTCCTTCGCCCTAAACTTCTCAATTAGTTGCGTAAGTAGGAAAATAGCCTCAGTTGTTGACCTCCCTAGCATAAAACTGAATTGATTTTCTAAGACACTCGTTTCATGCTTCAGCCATTGCTCAATCACTCTCTCCCACATCTTCATAGTGCGGCTCATAAGTTTGATCTCTAGATAGTTCGCATAATTATAATGTCTCATTTGTTCTTGTAAATAGGTATTGCAATAGTTTTCCTCCATTCATTTGGCATTTTCTTCGTTTTCAACACCTTATCCAACAGTTTGGTCAGCCAGTCAATGCCAATCTCCCTCATGCACTTCCAAACCTCTATCGAGATACCATCTGGTCCTAAAGCCTTCCCTATCTTCATCATCTTCAAAGCTTCTTTCACTTCCGATATTCTAATCCTATGAATGCATCCATGACCTCCACCCTCATTTATGCCAACAGTTCCCTCTACCGCTACATCCGCCCTCATTAAACTCATCATCCTTTACCAAGACCCTTTGATCGTCACTCTTAATCTATGTCCCTCCACTTTTTCACTCTCATTTTTGCTAATGTGATGACATTTTTTTCACCTTTTCATGTTACCAGTTTACTGTATAAATTATCATGTCTTAAGTTTTGCCTTGCGATTTGTTTAGCATTTTTCTTAATATTTTTATATTCTTCTAAGTTTTGATCATCATTTCCATTACATTGTCAAGTTGTATAACATGATTGTTTTTCGCTAATGGCCTTCTAAACCTCAAACAGTTATATGTATTATGTATATGTATGTTGTATGCATATATAAATGTTATATCACTAATCATATGCCTCACAAAGTACATGTTCATATGCCTTACAGTGCATTGTATACAATATAAATAGAAAGCCTACTAATCCTTATATGAATATTATATCAAAACAATATTTCAGATAAATCAAATTATTCCCAAATCCGTTGATTCAAGGAGACGAGTGCTTTTAGATACTGTTCTTAATTCTTTTAGATATACCATATTATCGCATGTAGTTTAATAAGTCATATTACATTATATCATAGAGATATGGAATGCTAAGTATCCAACTATCATAATCAGAAGGAAGAGTGCAACATACTTCACAAATACTACAAAGTGTGCATATTTCCGGGAGAGATTTAAATGTACCGCAGAGGTGAAAGTTGAGAGCTAGTAATTCAATATCCATTTAGTGAGAGCATAGAAAAGTATAGTTAAAGATAGATTCTCTAACCAGACTGGGACTAGATAGGAAGATATTTAAAGATAGATTCTCTAACCAGACTGGGACTAGATAGGGAGATATTTAAAGATAGATTCTCTAACCAGACTGGGACTAGATAGGGAGATATTTAAAGATAGATTCTCTAACCAGACTGGGCCTAGATAGGGAGGGATGAGTGCTAGGTAATTGCTACTTCATATTCTATTTGTAATCTCTGATTGAGATTTACCTGTAGTAGGTTTAATTGTGCAGATTTTCATGCTGTTATTAATGTTTGATTTTGATGTAGCTTTTGCACTTCTTATTTTCTCACCAATAATAGTAAAGTAATGAAGAAAGATATCTATCACGTTGAAGGTTTAGTGCATTCTATGCAGTTGAACTACCTAAAACATAAGCAATAGATTTCAAAAGTGAATTTCCTAAATGGATTGAGACCCACAGCCACTTTAAAATTTCACAAAATTGTTAGTAGTACGATACTAAGTAATCAGAAAATGGGTAAAAACTTGAAGAAAATGAGAAGCTAGCCTGCCACTAATAGAACAGAAATTTGATGAACTAGTGTTCAAAGGATAAACACTAGAAAATTGCAGGGAACAAAGATAAACTATTTAGAAACTCACATCTGTGGTCTGGTCAGCAGGGAACAAGTGTATGGAGCCTGGATTGAATGTCATGCCACTGAACCCAAAGAAGATGCAAAACGATCAGCTGCAATCTTTTTTTTTTTTAAATAAAAATAAAGAACATGGTAGAGTTCTGATAGTATAAATGAGATAAAAATCCCTTACAAGTTACCAGATAGGTAAAGATGGGTAAATACAAACACTGAAGAAACAAAGCAGTTAATCACCATTACGCAACAACAGTCATGAATTTGAAGTTCACATACTACCAAATAAAAATTAATAAGGAAACACCAAGTTTGTCCCTCATCAAAAATATCGTGATACAGACATGCGCTTAAGCTACGGTAGAATTGCAGAAAGATATCACACAGTAAGTTTATGTGGTGAATACCTTTTTGAAAGGACTAGCTGCCAAACATATGGGATGAAAAACTCTTCTGGATGATGCTCTTGCTCATAAGTGAATTTTAACTGGGTGAACATCTGTTAATATCCAACATTTACATCATGTAATAAACCTAATAAAAGATAAAACTGGTATCCAAAATAGAAACTAGATTCTACTATTTCTTTTATACCACTAATCCCATTGCTATAACACAAGCAACAGCAGAACAGAATTCTACCTTCATTCCATCACCACGCCATGATCGGCAATTAATAATAATGACTTGAAGGACTTTCTCCACTGACCATTCACCATCCATATTTTGTGCATCCATGCGGCTGTTGAAGAAATCTAGTACCTGCAATACAGATACTGTCTTACTCATTTAGTCCATTCCTGACAAGCACCTTAGCACCAGGTGCATTGTCTTGGCAAACAAGGTGCTCAAAGACTAGAGGCATACAGAGTAAATGTTATCCAATAGCTCGTAAAAGCGTGGGTGTTGCTTAAAAGGCTCAAAAACTTCTTGGCGATGCATTATTGCATATACAACCTGCACATTTTTCACAAATATTGAGAGAGAGAGAGAGAGAGAGAGAGAGAGATCATTGAGAAAGAAGGTATCAGAAATAAAAGCCATGTGATCCATCATCCGCCATTAAAGTTTGATCTGAAGGAAGAAAAATAATGTTATACTATAAGAAATACCTCAGGATTTCGAGGCAAAGCATATGTCATGATTGCATTCAGAATCTCCAGTACAATCCGTAGGAAATCAGTATAAATGTGTAACTCAGTTGGCTGCAAGAGTAACAATCATAGTTCATTGTGACGTCATTAACAAAAGTGTAAAATTAGGTTATGAAAGGAAACTGTAAAATTAGGTTATGATAAGGTCATTGATAATTTCTGAAGGCTAGCCTGATTACCATATCATCCCCGATAGTGTTCCCTTCAGCCAAATTGGCCTTAAAGTTTTGGATCTTATCATTTCTTAACTCCGCTAATTTGGTATACCTGGACAAGATAAATAAAACTAAAATTAAACATATAGTCATAGAATCCAAAAACGAAAAAAGGAAGAAGAAAGTCAAAATTGGAGTACTGGAAAAAATTAAGTCACACATCATCAACATATTCCCAACTAAAAGATATAATCCTGATTAACATTAATGACTGTGCATGTAAGAAAAAGAGAGAAGATTGGTTAGAAAAAATTAGCATACTTGCGTGCGAGCATATCAAAAAGGCTAACCAGCCTCTGCGAAGCATAGGCACTTAGTCTATGAACATGAGGTGCCATGTTTGCCAGAGTTGCAAGACAGTTTGTATGTAGGTAAACATCCTGTTCAAGATTGGAAGAAACAATCAATACTGAGAAAAGACTCTTGACAGGACTTACTGATCACAAAAATCGACATGTTTAATTGATGCCATAAAAATCTGCAGATAGGGATGTTAAAGAACAAAAATGAACAAACGTCACTCCTAAATTTGGAATTCATAAAGAAGAAAATAATTCAAGAAAGTCAGCAAAAATCATTGACAATAAATAGCTGCTCTAGATGAGCTATATATACATACCCTAAGCTTCGACATGTTGTACTTGACCGTCCTTATAAGTATTACGACCATCAGAGAACCAAGGGATGTATGATGTAAAAGACGTTCTTGGTACCATGGAACACTTGGTAGTATCTGCAAAGTCATATAAAATGCAATAGCTATTTTATCTAGATTCTAACATGGATGAGAAGTCTCTTAAGGAGCTCCTGACAAAATTATCTTACCAGCTTATGAATACTAGCATTGAAAGATGAATCCTGACTTAGTATAAGAAGTATAATCAGCAACATATAAATTTGATTAGAGGTCCTCCTTGAAGCATTGTAAAGCATTTCGAGCACAGGCATCAACTGCAAATTTATATTGCATACGACAATATAAAAAAGTTAGTTCAAATGCTCTTGACATGTTTGGTAAAATAGAACTTCGGTTGCAATAAAATTATCAACAAGTTCGTGAGACAAAAAAAAAAAAGGCCGCCAATAAACTTTTTCTGATGCATAAAAGCCAACAAAAACATATAGCAGTGCTAGCAGAAATTTGTTCTTTCTACACATGAAAACCTAAGAAAGATCTTTTAGGCATGTAAAGGATCTATTTTAAAGCAAACTGTCGGACACATGATCTTAAAGGACATCAAGGTAAGAAGAAACTTCTTAAACAGAAGTGCTTCATTTGCTTGGTAGTAGTCAAAACAGCAACAAATGCTCATTCCCAGGAAAGCCTAACCTTAGACACAAAATAGAGATGGAACAAGAGCCAACAATACTTACCAATGTATCCAAATCCGTTCTCACTAGAACATACTCCAGAAAGTCAGAATTTCCATGGACTAATGAATAGAGAAGTAAGACTGATGTCTCATCAAATAAGCACCTGCCGTAACAGAAAGAATTTAAAAATATACAAAGAGCATGTCACAAACAGCAAAATAATAGCAAGAATATCAAATAAATCCAGAGATGGATGGCATTGTGCAAAAGTCAATTATATTAAGGTCATTAAAAAGTTTAGAACAACTAGGACACAGAAACCTACATGAGTATATATAATGAATACAAAGAAGTATATCATAGCTAATATCTGCTTGGCATTTTTGATAGGTATACTTTTGTGGCTATATAAACAAAAAGGAAAATAAAAAATTAAAGGATAAGTTAGCTTGTTTGGGGTCTCTGGGACAAACTTCAAGGAATTGAACCCTTGACCACCCTCACCCAAAACAATATGTCTACCACTAAGCTGAAGACTAAGGGACATGCAAAAGTAGAACACAGGATAGGTAAACTTGATATTGCTAAATGAAATAGTAGAACTATGATTGCATGCATATGTTGAAAGGCAGCATGAAGACCTTAGTCATTGCTTCTCTTTTTGTACATGAAATTACCTCAAGAAAGCAAGGGGAACATTTAGAAAACTGCCAAGACATTTTCATCAAAATTTTTACTATCAGTGGTTACATATAGTTGCTATGGGTGACACTTTTTGTGAGACAAGCCTGAAGTCTGCTTTTCCAATGAGTTTTGAGATAAGTAGAAGATGAAAAATGAAATGGCTAAGTTATCAAGGAACTCCTATCTACCAAAAACGTAACATGTAGTGTGACTTTGTCTCTTCGATTGCCAAGGGAGGGTGTGGAAGACATCATGAACTCCTAGACGATCAGTATGTTACATAAAACTGTACCCAATTTCTGCTCTTGACACTTGTAGGAAGAAAGGCCGCGTACCATGTCTCCATTGTATGAATCTTTGTTAATGAAAGAAAAATGATGGATGGCAGTTAAGATCCTCAAATAGGGTTAAGATTAGATAGCGGCACGAGTGGATTTTGACAGAGTGGCCTAAATTGCTTTGACCGCGCAATGGATGTTGGGGTAGTTGTATTCTATTGTAAATGGATCAGAAGTGAACTCACATGCAGAATTTCTTAGGAAAAATGGCTGCTTAGTTACAAGATCAGCATAGGAATAAATGAGATGTGATTGATTAAGCCACTTAGGGACATCGAGACCATGTGAAGCTCTAAGGATAAATCTATACCTGTTTTTAAATATCGAATGAGGCACAATGAAGTTGACAATATATTAAACATCATTTCACTTTCAGGTGCTATTTCATAGCCAGATATAAGCAATAACTTCAGCACACAAAACTACACAGAGAGCTAATGGCAAGTTTCTTGTTGACAAGCTATAACTTATTACGTTCCTGATGCCAGTATGAGCGCCAATTGAAGTGTACTTGCCCTTTGCAAGTGTAAGGGTGATTATGCACATGTCCTTTTGCCCTTCGCTGTAAGGCATGTTTATCAATTGCCCCATATGAATTGCATATAACCCAATAATCATTTTGTTAACGACTTTATTTCCCAAATCCCTGCTCACCATGTCAAGAACTAAATGTTAAGAGAATTTAATAAGACATGAACATGTGGGAAGGGTTGAGTTTGAGGAATCGAGTATACGGAGGCATTTCGAAGCTTCCAATCCAAAAGCAACATTGGATGTGGAATGGATCATCAAATGTCAGGATCCTTATAACATTATTTATTTGAAGGATGCTTGAAAGTTACAAAAGATTTAACTAGGTTTTGGGTTTCACTCAAAATGAAAAGAACCAGGGATTCAGATGTTTCCCTGAATCCTTAAGGGATAGAATATTCAACATGAAAACAGGGTTCGCATTTCGATCTCCAATCTAATGTATGCATCTTCATGTAGATCATGTTCTGAGGTAAGCCATCTCCATGTCTAATTGTTTATCTAGGGATAAATAAACAGTCAGATTCAGCAGATCCCTTTTCACCATGGAAGATGTAATAACCTATTAAGAAAAAATCCGTACAACTTGTATCCATCTATAGATAGTAGTATCTCAAAGCAACTACAAAATGTTCTATTTTTGATAAATGTTATTAGAAGAACTTTATGGCTATCTAGAGGGGTTCTACAATGTTACAATCTTTTGCAATTGGTTAAGGTTCTCTATGATTTACATCGAACTTTACCTGCAAACAGAGAAGTAAGGGAATATCATGTATAACTGGCATTCAGTAAGGTTGCAACTCTGCTGTCTAAAGAAAAGAACTTTCAACTGCAAGCTCAAAGTTGGCTTCTAAACAGGAAGGTTCAACCAACATTACCGAGCAGATTAAATTATTACAATAACAAGAGTTATTGCTAAAAGAGTGAATAAATAAGAGATAATCCTCTATGGTTTCATAAAGTACCAATGTAAGATCATATGTAAGGAACAAAACCTAAGGTTTACAAGTATTGTCGTGACTCATGCAGCGGCTACAAGCTATGTTATCAAAGCACTTTGTGCATGTGCCTAGATGTTGACTCCATGAAGGGCATCGTTACAGCAACTCCCTAGGGCTTCTCTAAGAAGGAAAAGACAGGTGAGAAGGTCTGTGTCAGCTACCTTGAAAGTAAAGGGTTTACTGCTGGAATACAAGTTATGGGTCACTTTCAATTGTTGAAGGAGGGGACATGCAAAAGATAAATTTTCTAAAGTAACCAAATGCCCAAAGGTATCTTCAGATATTTCATTTCAACCTGTTGTGAAGTAGTCCTAGACTGTAAACAGGAAATAAGAACATAGATTTTCCTAAGTCATTTAATTATGTTTAATGGTAATATGCCGATCCTAATGGTACTACAGAGTCAGAATGACAAATTCCCAATATTACTTTGAGGTGCATTTTTTAATATAGCAATATACTCCCAGAGCCTCAGAAAACAGAAGATAAATTCCAAATTATATGAGAGATAGTAATACTCACGCTCCAAGAGTGTCGAATAAAGAAGCAAAAGGCAATCTCACAAGTGGTCCACTGTGTGCATTCCCCTCTACATCTACACGATCAACTGCATAGACGGTGGAATTGAACCACATTAAACACATAAATAGAGACCACAATGTGAAACAAATTCAAAGACTACTTAGGGAATAAAAAATGAAATGAATTAGCCATGGAAATAATGTCTTACATTCAATATCCCTTGCATTTTCCAGAGCACTACAGTAAGGGTTGTCCTGAAAGTAGGAACTTTCTTTAAGAAAACCATTCATCTCCACACCATCTTCACTTTTGTCCATAAAATTATCATCCACTATTATTCGCTTTTGGTAGTGAACGAGAACAAGTAAAACAAGTAGGCTGATATCTGCCAATGGACTTCGTGATCCATCACTACTTGAATTGACAATATAATTGAATGTATAGTATGGCAGTAGTACAAAAGTTGCTGCAAGTTCAAATAATAAGCACAACCCATCAGGCTTAAGCACGATGAAGAAGAGGATTTCAGAAGTGAATCATGATATGCGGAAGACTTGCAAAATCATAATTATCACATAGGATTTAAAATAAAATCATCATTATCAGTTAGTTTGGTTTTTTGTAATAATAAGAGTCAAATGTGGGACAGTACTCAAACATTACAAGTGAAAGTCCATGCATCAAGTATGTCAGTAAAAATGTCCAGTATTGGTGTTCAATGCTACTCAAGTAGATATAGGTTCACAGTTCACCTAACGAGGAGAATGAAGATCCTACAATATAGTCATAGTTAAGTATAATGTCAAAGAAACAGAAAAGTCCTATTGCAATGAGAGAATGGAACCACGACATCTGGCATAAATTTAAAAATTGCATAAACATACCAGCTGCTGAGCCAACTTTTTGTAAGACGCCAGTTTGACTCCCTTCGAGAAATGAATTGTAGGATGCTGAATTCAAAGGAATGCGCGGGTGAGTAATATATGTGAGCAGTAGTCTACGAACAACAGAACCAACCAAGGCACTCTCCTGCATCAAAATCATGGCAGTGTAATATTAAGTGAATAACTATAAGAAAAGGCTCCAATTGTTCAGGGTTTAATACTGCTAAGACTATTAAAGACAACCTGAGCCATTGCTGCATCGATAAATGGATGAACATCCTTTGGCCCTCGAGATGGCCCAGCACGAAGCTGAGTGGACATTGCCACCAGCACCAAATTCAGTACTTCATGATGGAGGAGGTACATTCGAGGACTTGCAAAATAAAACAATGATACTTAAAATCAGCAGAATAGAAAACGGGGCTAACTAGAAACAACAAATAAATCATAAAGAGAACAGGGCTATACCTGATATCTGCTGTGCCAATAAAAGAAAATAAATTCCGTGTGAGCAAATTTACTAAATTTTGACCTACAACAGGCAATGAAAACTGTAAGCTGTATGCACAAAAAACAGAACGGCATGTGTATGTGTGCAATTTAATAAAAAGCTAAGAAAATTAATATAATTTTGATAAGTTATCAACCTCGTAATTTATACTGCACTGTTTTCTAAGCATTTTACTGCATGAATGGGTCATCATGTTGATAGTTTTGGACTTGCCATTTCAGACAATCCTAACACTTAATGGTCATGGATATCACGGACTATGTGTCATGGAAATAGGCCTGGCAATGAGCTGGGCGGCCCGACCCGGCTAAGCCCGGGCTTGGGCAAGCATATGTGGCAGGCCTAGCCAAAACAAAAGAAGGGCCCATGCCTGACCTGGTCTGGCACGGCTGAGAGACAGGCTAGACCCTTTGGCCCAGCCCTGGGCCTGTGCAGGGCCAGGGACGCTTGGCCCAAGCGCAGCCCATTGCAGGCCTGCAAAGAAACTAGGTTTAGCTTGCCCTTAATTTGCAATAATCCGAAAGAATGTGCCCCTCTCCAAGGCTAACCATTAAAGTGAAGCATCAATGCAGAAGATTACAGAACATACAAACCAGAATAATGCATTAACAAAATAAAAGCCTAACAATCTGGGCAAAACGATAGTCCTACAAATTTATAATTAGTATGGCTCCAACAATTTGAAGTAAAACAAATGGAAAGCTGATTTACCCTTTGGGATTTCAGATGGAGCTGCTTCACTTTCATCAAGGCAGAGATGTAGTTCATCAAAATTGTCACTTTTTGCATTCTCAATTAGGTATTTCAAGAAAATGGAGGATAAGTGTGCGGCATTTACAGCCTTTGCGTACAAAATTGATGGAACAGCCGCTGCAGAAGCTAACTCTTGCAAACACCATACCAGATGAATTAAGATCTTGGCAAGATGCCTTGTGTAATAGTTGTTTTGGGCTGCACATGCATACAAGAAAACAAATCTGACCACTTAAGCAATAAATTCAACATATTATCAAAATTTAATTATAATGAGTAAGCAGAAAGGTGGTTTGAACACACTAAAGGAACTACAAAGGAAATGAGTTAATTCTGCCATAAAAAAGAAGTATTAATAATTAGCCAGGTATGTGCAGATTCTTGTAACAGTGCTACATTAGTGTACATTTCTACTTTGTCAAAGGAACATCCAACAATAATATATTTAACATAATTTGTGTGCTCTAAATGTCAACTAGATTGAGAGCATGGGAGTCTATTCACCAATCTTGGGCTTAGTATTCACAATGTTATCATCGTATAAATTGGTGGAAAGTTATAAGAAATATAAAAGACTTCAGAATTTTAAGACGTCGACATACTTTTATCCTAGCATACTAAAGTCACAATAAAGCATCAAGTTTGGGAGTGCGCATGAGCATATAGGAATAAGTTATCATTTTGATTGATGTGTTTTTCAGTAATATCAAACACAATTGTTTTGCAGAGTAAATCTTGCTTCATGTATGTCAGGAAGTTAATCAAGCTCATTTTTTGTAGATATGGCCCACTAAAGGAGTATTCAGAACTTGTCAGAAATTCAGGTGCCCAACAGCAGGTTCAACTTATCGAAGTTTTAACTGCTTTGGAATTTATCTCTTGCTCTTATGATCCCCAAATTTCCTCCTTCATTTCTCCTCGAGCCTTTCCTTTTTCCATACAATTCAAATTAAATTGTCTACTCCTCTTTTTTTTTTGTTAATTACCTTGAATATACTCCATCCAGGATACCATTTTCTTAGTTAACTAGGTTTCATGGAGGCATACGGCTTTCCATAGCCTGTTCTTGTAAGCTCTAATGCTATAACATGGAAATTTTCATATGTTTCAAAATCGTATTAGTAGTTAACACCCAAATATCACTATCCTTAGATATTACTGTTGAGCTTCTGACTAGGATACCTCATATGAATCTATCACAGGAACCCCGATCATAGTTCAAGACAAATTGTATGGAAGAGCAGAGAGTTGCCAGGAAAATGATAATCCGACATCACACAACTAGATTCACGAGCATTATTCTAATAATCATCATCATCAAGCGCCTTTTCCCAACTATTTGGGGTCGGCTACACAAATCCTGATCCGCTCTATCAAGGTCCATACCCTCAGTGAGGCCCTAAGTCCTCATATATTTTCTCACTACTTCCAACCATGTCTTTTTGGGCGTAACCCTTGCCTTTTTATGAGCCTTCTACTTGAACATCATTCTAATGTCAGACCAATTAAAAACAAGTAACGGAATGACATCAGAAATGAAACTATAACCCTCAATTTACTTGACCCTAATAAATATATAACTCAGTGGAAAAAGGAGAGATCTAGATTGCAATCTCCACAATGGTGCCATTTGCATAAACACGGATTCAAATTCAAATATTAACTATGATGCCAAACAGCTCACATGGAAGAAAACCATATCCTAAATCCTAGGATGCATTCACTAAAACCTCAACTTATGAATGTAAGAGGGGAGATAATCCCAATTCTCATGTTCGTTTCTCAGGCATCAAACAGAAAATTAGAACTGACATAAAACTAAAAGCAAGTACTTGATGTTAATTGTCACAATTCAATTACAGAATCGCAACCCACACATGTTTGTTGTCCAATATAACACTTCAAAAAGAGAATCCAAACACTTAAGAAACCCATTCTAAGATAACAGGACAAAACTAGCAATTAAAAAGATTAAACAGAGCTCAAAGCACAATGATAGAGACACCCCAGAACCGAAAGCCACTGAAAATACCAACACTAAGCCGTTTCACAAAGAAATTTTCCAAAACCCAGCTTACCAAGACTCTCACAAGCCTCTGAGACCTTGTCTTGAGGCCATTGAAGAGTGAGAGGAGATGCAAGAAGCTTCTGCCAAAAATCAGAGGAAATCGGGAACGATTTCTCCCCTACAAATGTAGCAAGAAGATATTCAGCCTGATCACGAGGTCGAGAGCTCTTAGAAGGAGTCGAAGGCACACCACCCATGCTCTATTGCTCTCTATCTACTCTCCCGATTTGGGTTTTCATGAAATTCAACACATGGAATCAGGGTTTGCATGAGAACCAAGATTTCTCAAAATTTTAGTCCCAGATCCCGACCCTTAAACCTAAAAAACAATTTCCAAGTGATAAAAAGCGATTCAATTCAAAGATAGAAAGAGAGTGGTGAGAGATAGAAAGTGAATGTAGATCTGGGTAATAGAGAGAGGCGTAAGAATCAGAAAGCTTTGAAATGAAGGAATAGGGAGAGGAAGAGAGAAATGAGGTAATAACAAGACTGTTGAAAATTCGCAGCTTAAGGTCGATGAAGAAACTTAAAAAACGAGGGTCTTGCGTTCTGAAATGCTTAATCAAAGAGAGGGTATTTGTTGGTACGTGCCGTGCTAGGCATAAGAAATGTGTCACGTGGGGTCCACCTCGCTCTTATTTTCTTCCGACCCGGTTTTGTTTTACTTTTAATTGACTTATTACTCGATCACCGTCTTACGTCGGGCTCTATCTTGGTTAGGCCGTGCAAAATGCAAATAGATATCAGCAAAAATAAATTGCGAAAGTATATTGTTTCCCTGTAATTTATTATAGGAAACTAGTTTAAATTAAGCTGACCAGCCAGAGAAATATATCTAAATTTAATATTTTGATCTTTAGTGGATTAGGTGTTATCGCTTCTTATTTGGGAGAACTTTATTTTAAGGGTTTGTTTGAGTACCAGGAGATATATTGCCTAGAAAATATATTAGTGACATAATATATTGCCTGCAAATGGATTATTATTATTTAGATAGTATCTGGATGCAACCTAAGAAATACGTTGTTATTGTTTGACTGTGTTTGAAAGAAATCTGAAAGATACATTACCGACATTTTCGTTAAAAAAAACGTGCTAATTTTATCTATAATGATGTGGTTTTTTCATACCCATTTTTTTATTTTTTATGATAAAATATCAATTAAAACTACTTTGTTTTTTATTATGTGAATGTAATATCCACATGGGTTAATTTTATCCACCTTATTTTTCATTGTTTTTACACATATTTACGATTTGAAACATATTCTAATTCTTGCTTATTTCAGTAATTAAATTGAAAGTTCTAAAAAATGTTTAGGATTGACTAATTTCAAGGTTCAAAATCCGTCTTTTTTTTTTTTTCATGTTATCAACCTGTGAACTTTTGAATCCAAAATCTATCTTGGAGATAGATTTTGGAAGGAGGACTTCGAATAAATGTGTTTGCTGATGAACCAAAACCCAGTCCAAGAGGTAGGAACAGTACGAACTTTCGAAAAGGAAAAAAAAAAGTATGAGCCAATTTGCATAATATATCAGGTTAAATTATTTCATTGAATTATCTAATTGTAATAAAACAATTCATTTAAATCTGTTTTGAAGCAAGAAATTGCCCCACGGTTTGGTAATCGTTTGAAAATACAATTGATAATCCCATAATCCTCAAGCCTACATCCATAAAAAGATAACTAAATGCTAACATCTCATCTCTTATGAAGCCGATTGAATGAAGTGTTGCATGCATATGTTAATATGATATAAAGTAGTTAATAGGTTGGAGTATGTTTACAAATATTAATCCGTCTTATTAGTGGGTTGTGTGTATTTTTTTTATGCGAGTTTTAGAAGGTTGTGACAAATTAAAAAGGTGCTGAATTGTCATCTACATTTATAAGTTTTAGTTAACTTGTAGTCGTTCTTTGATGAAACTTATCTCATTGGAACTTAATGCATTTTTGTGAAATTTTAATTTCAAGATGATTAAAGGGTTTACTACGATGCTAAAATGCGAATAACGTGGTGTTCCATTCTATGATAGTCGTGGAAATGGAGGATTCCTATCCTGTTTAGGTCATAAAATAGTTGGAAAAATCTCACTTGCCCACCTTCGTAATATTTTTTTTTTAAATGTTCAACCACAGTTTTATTTTGCTATAGAAAATACTATGTGTTATTTTAAAATAGTATATCTTTTATAATTTAGTGCTTTGAAAAACATATTTTTGTGTTATTTACAGAGAAAGAAGTAAGTCATTTATCCTATATTGAAAAATGAAGTCAAGGAAGTCGTGCTTATATACATGGGGCTACCTTTGTCATTTACATTCTAAGACATAATAAGGTGAGAGAAGGTCAATGCTGAGCATGTTAGCAAGTGGTCCTCAAGAATGATCCCACAACCATCCCTTGTTGACTTCCATAGTTGTGGCATATAGAGCACACTATAAAGAGCAATTATATCATTTATGTCGATCATCATTATTTCAATATACCATATAAAGTTACCGTCTTTTGGCTTCACATCACAAGTTGAAATGGGCTCAAGATTAAGTGGTTCGGTGGCAGAGCACTACAACATGATATCTTGAACTCCATTTTTATCATGAGTACAGGACCCAATTCCTTACGAAGTACCCAAAAAAAAAATAGAGGCAGTATATCGATTTCTAGTTATAAATATAGAAGGCCGTGAGCTTGTAAGGGAGGAGTTTGTACATCCGAAGGGTAGGTACAAGAAAAGTAAAGGAACATTTTCCCACCCTGTAATGAATGATTCACACTGAGGAGACAAGGGTTACACCGTGAAGACAACGTAGGGACGCACTTTATAATCGAGTTAATTCGGTGGGAAGTTTTTCATTTCAATTAAATGAATTCTATAAATGAAGACACCAAGGGCGGGCGCAATGGGCCGGGTGGGCTAGGTCAAACTCGAACCCAACCGAAGACCCTATAGGGCCAGCCTGGGCTTGGCTTGGGCCAAACGGGACCCTGCTATTGGACCAGGGGTCCCTGCTACATAGAAAGGGTAGCAATACACCTAGCCCAAGCACATGGCCACAGGGTTTGGTGGACTGAATTCTCCTCCAATTGAGTAAACGCACCGAAATCTATGGACCATGGCGAGTACCAAATGATTTGTTTTGGCGTTTCAAGGCATCTTCCTTTGATGCCCTTTTAGGAGACGGTTTGATTGGACGTGGAGGGGTGGAATGTTATGGAGTCAATATTTCTATATTATTTCCCACATTCAAATATAATTGAATAAAGTTAGGGCTTAGTAAACCATCCATGTTAATTGAAGAAGAAAATAAAAAGTGAGGGAAATTGCATAAAGCAGCAACGATGTAGAAAAGTGCCCATCCCAGCAATGAGCGGGGTGGCCGCCTCGCCCAACCCTAAAAATCTAGTGCAACCACAGTGGCCAAGGGAGGGTTTGGGCAGCGGACAACGACCCAAGGGCCATCCCAGCAATGAGCGGGGTGGCCGCCTCGGCCAACCCTAAAAATCTAGTGCAAACCACAGTGGCCAAGGGAGGGTTTGCGGCAGCGGACAACGACCCAAGGGCAGGACCCGGCTTGGGCCCGTTTGGAAGAGTAAAAGATTTAGGCAATCCATGCTATGTTTGTTGTTGTCCTACGTCCCAATTTATGCAAGAAAGGTAAAAGCAGGCTTTTTATCGAGCCGCATCAATTGCCGTCTTACAAAATGACACCCCCTTATAACACACGAATGGCTGGTAATTGCCCAAGTGCCCGAGCTCTCGAAAACTAGAACTTGGGCTGCAAAACATGGCCCACAGGTCAGGGTAGGCCCAAGGCAGAGCCACCCCACCTTACCATTTTTTCCACCTTTTTTCTTCTTTTTTTTCCCTTTTTCCTATTGGTTCTAATAAGCTCAATCGGGCTTCAGCTAGGGCCTCGTCAGCCCAATCTTGGTGAGGCTGCATTCAAGCCGGCCCTATAGGCACCAAGGCTCGGGCTGGTCCGGCGCCTTGCCAACCCTATGTACCATGTTTTTGGCCACAGTGTGACATCTTGGTATAACACTATTTACTACTCAACTTAGGGTGTGTGTGGATACGTGGAGATGCCTATCTGGGAAATGCTTTTTTAAGATTGCTAATCTCTCAGGTTTGACTCTCAAAAACACCTTTGACATTAGATCCCCGGCAAAATGACACAAGAAAGGCATTTTGAGAGTCAAACATTAAATATCAAAATATCAAGTCTTTTAGACAAACATTTCATTAGAAGGGCATAGATGAAAGTAGTGAAAAAGAAATATAGTGACTTATGATATTACTGATGGTATGACATTTGATAGGTGGAATGAAAGAACATAATTTATGTAGCCGACCCCAAATAATTAAGATAAAGCTAAGATGATATTGATGATGATAATGACGTTTTATGTAGTTTCTCTTGAATAGCCATAATGAAAACAATGTAGGTTGGCTCTTGAGATGCTAGGCCTTCGTAATTTGTAAATGGATTTATTATTTATGTAAAATCCAAACCAAACAAATCTCAGATCTTGGAGTCTAAGAATTCATGTGTGGCATTTAAGGAAATGATCGTGCGGGAGGCCACTTGTCGATGGTTATGTGGAAGTTCCCTTCACACCGTAGGACTAGACATCTAATAGTTTGTCTTATTAGGAGCATGTTGCTTACTGTATAATAGAGTTGTTGTAAAAACGAAATACAATCCACAAAAACAAGAAAGAAAAAACAAATATAAAAGAAAGAGACAATCAACCACAACACAAAGATATACGTGGTTCAGCAACGTGTCTACGTCCACGGGAGATGAGAGCTTCTTTACTGGCAATAGAGAATAGGGTTACAATAGCTCTCTTTTCCTCACGCTTCTTTGTTCTCTCTGATTACAAAGAAATTAGCGTTTTTCCTTTAACCTTAAAAAGAACCCATCACTACAATATATAGAATCATGTACAAATTACCAAAATACCCATGTACAGATAAATACCCATGTACAGATATATATCGAGCCCCTCCGGAGTTGTCCTTTTGACTCTACCTTGACATCTATTTCTTCATAATACAAAACATCAATCTTCAACAGTTGTAACCTCCATTGCACCCCCTTTGACATCCTCTTTTTTCTTTTTTTCTAAATGGAAGTTATTGATTTGAATTAGGAGAAAATATAGCTTATAAAAAACCCATAAAAAACCATATTTCTATTTTGAAATACACACAAATATTTTTCAAAACCAAAAAATACTAACATTTTTTGCGTTTCCCATAAAATCGAATTTTGAAGGTCTCCCGCCTTCTTAAGAAACAAATATCCAGCTGATGTCAATCTAATGGTTGAGAAGAGAACCCCCAAGTAATCAACTATGAGGGAATTCCGGCATAAACATTTCTTTCATTCAATAAGATGAATTTTTATACTGAAACTAGTGTTAACTTTCATAGAAGTAACCAAATAAATTTTTTTCTTCTTGGATAATTTAGTCAATTACTAACCATTCAAGCTTTCATATAAGTATATCTACCTTGTTCGTTGACCGGCTCTT